GCCAGTCTGCACTGTGGGGCACACCTCCTCAGCAATTGCCTGGCCCTCTGTGAGTAGGCCCATGATCTGCGCGCAGACACGGGTCACATACTCATCCGCCACCGTGCCCTGTATAGCCTCCAAGGCGTGGGGCATGTCCGCCGTAGCCCCGCGCACCCGCTCCCAGTGGGACGCGACCTCCGTGTCTATTATGTGTTCCAGAGTGCCGGCTAGGGAATGCCATGCAGTGCTCTGTCGCTGAGCGATGGCTGCCTCCAACTTGACGAGGCTTTCTTTGGTCAGTGGGCGCAGCCGACGGCCACTGCGGCAGGGCGCCGCGCCGCTACCTGGCAGAGGCGGGAGCAGCCCCACAGCTTGCCAAGGGATCGTAAATAGCAGCGCGTTGTGGTCCGTACACCTCCCTTCCATGTCCACCACTTGGCAAGTGGAGTACGGCCTCCACCGTGACCATGCCCCGGCGGGCAGATTGCTTAAGGCGTCGTCAATTCTGCTGACTGGCACGTGTCCCGCCCGGAAGGACGCCTGTCTGTGGTGCGGGTCGGCTGGGTCAAGGGAGAGCAGGCTCAACTTGGCACAGGCTGCTTGGAAACTGGTGTCGGCCGGGGTAAGCGCCGGGGCAACCGGGCTAAATCGCCTGTCATGCGGGTGCACCGCTGCGTTCCAGTCCCCAACGGCAACGGTCAAGCAGTCTGTTGTTGCCGCCATGTCAGCTTCGATCTGTTGCAGGACTTGTTGGCGGATGAGGGCGCCCCCGTCGCCCGCAGGTGGACAATAGATCCCCAGTAGGTGAAGTTTGCCTCGTGTAGGCAGGTCTATAAGAAGACGCAGGTAATACCCTTGCAGGTGGGCAGGAGTGTGCTGCTCTACTTGTGGAGCAATGAACGCGTCTTTCTTGAGTAGTATTAGCACCCCCGCTTTGCGGGTGGCCCGGGTCCCATGCCTCCAGTCTGCAGACGGGGCTTCTGTGAAATATGCCCTATATTTACCGAGGGCCGCTCTGAATTGGGCGTCGTGCCACAGGAACCTCCGCCGGTACTGTTTTATTTCGGGCAGCACCACCACATCCGGGCTGTGCTGATCTAGCAGTTCAACCAGGTCGTCTGCGAAGGTGCTCAGGGTCTGTGCATTGCACTCCAGGATGCTGATGGACGGCAATGGTTGATGGCCAGCGCCTGGGTCAGCTTGCCACAGCGGGGGCTCCCCCGGGCCAGCGCCGGGTGGATGGCCCGGCTCTGAGCATCCCAAGGTCGCGACGTCTGGCCGGCTTGGGGGTGGGTCACGCTGTTGCTTCTGGGTGGGCTGCACTGACGCCGCCAGGTACTCTTCCTCCCTCGTTCCCCCGTTCACGGTTGGCGGGGCTGGCCAAGCAAGTTTCGGGGCTCTGCCGGCGCGGCGGGCGCGGGGGCCGTGCTGCGCGTGCTGTGCAGAGGCAAGGTCCTGAGGCCGCTGCCGCTTTCCGGATTCATTCAGTGACGGCTCCGGTCGCAGCGACTCCCGGGAGGCCGCACGGCGCACGCCTTTCGGGGTGCGGAGTCGGTCGCGAGTGGGGCGGTCCCGACGCTGGTCACACCGCGGCGGGGGCGGTGCAGAGGTGTCGATCACCGTGCCATGGTCTCTGAATTTTACAGCCAAATGTGGGGGTCCCGCCGTCCTAGTTTGTGTCGGGCTGAGGGCTGCCTCCAAGTCAGCCGGGGTCACGGCTTGCCAGGTTGGGCCCGGGTCTGGGCGCGGCTGGCCCCCCGGTGCAGGAGCGCCGACCGCGCCAGCAAGGGCGGCGTCGGCCGGGAAGAGCATGTGAGCCGTCCATGTTTCCCCTGCAGGCACAAGCACCGACCACATGTTAGGGTCCCCCACAAGGCGTATGCGGCCGGTCGCGCTGAAGTGTATGGAGTCCAGGAGGTACCATGTGCTTTGTCCGTCGGCCGCGGGCCCCGTGCGTGCGCACGTCCAATGTTCCCCATTCGTGAGCAGGACCGCCGTTGCACCGTGGCGACTGATGTGCCTGGCAAGTGTGTGAGCCGACTGTGGGTCGCATGTGAGCCAGGAGACAACTTCAAAGAACGCATTGAACCCATGGGGCGTATGGTCGTACAACCACCTGTTGAGGGCGCTGGTGGTGAACCATCCTGCGCCGCTGTAGTGTTCTCCCACCTCCCCCGCCGGCCATGCAGTGCGGAGGTATTGAATCATGTCCGTCCCGGTCACGACCCGGCGGCCTAGGAGAGCATTTAGGGCATGGGCGCCGCAGTGTCCCGACTCTTGTGCATCGCAGTGCAGTCCAACCTGCGTGGGCATGGGATCCGCCAGGGCGCCCGTGGTGCTGGTGGGCTGAGTTGTTTGCAGCCGTGGGCCTCCCCCTATCATACCTTTCCTCAGCTGCGCCCTGCGCTTGACGGTTTGTATCACGTTCAGCATGTGGATCCAGGCCGGGTTTGGCCTCCCGGCCGGCATGCGGCGCCACCCCTGGGGCGCCGGTCGTTGCATGGGGCTCGCGAGGTGCACGCCGCGACGTGGCCGCCGCAGGGTGCCATGCTGGGGGCGCAGGCGGCCCCTAGCTATCTCTAGCTTGCGAGGCTGTCCTTTGGCGCGCACATCCCTCGGGGCTGCGCGTGGCCTGCGAGCACCAGCTTGTCTGCCAGACCGCCGTGCTGAGGCGAGGCGTGGTGTGGGACACGACAGGGCCATCCGCTTGCAGCGGAGCAGCACTGCACCGACAAGCAGCGTCGCAGCCGCGTGTTGCCAGATGTTACCCATGTGCACGCGCGTGGCGGTGTTGGTGGGGGGCCCCGTGCAGTTGCAGGATCCCGCGGTGGCAGGGCAACGGCTGTCGCATCCGTGCATGGCTACCGCTGCGCGGTGTGGCCGGGCCACACCCACAAGGCTGTGTCGAGGCGGGCGAGGCTGAGGGCGCGGCCTGCAGGTCACACCCAGTGCAGAGTAAGCGCCATGCGCCGGGTGGGCCCACGGAGCCTGTGTCACGCCCGCCCCCTTGCGTGGCTGACCCCGACCGACGGCGGCCTCCAGTCCACATCCTGCCGCCAGGCACGGCAGAGCAGCCGCGAGGAGCAGGTTACACAGCAGCACTATAATAGCTGTGCGCCGGCGGGGCGTGGGTACACGGGCTCCCGCGGCGTAGCCAAGGGCAGCGTGACGTTTAGACATACTAGTGCGTGTTGAGCAGGCCCCACACCCCAGGAGCCGCCGCTGACGCGCCCGGCTCCGCCGGCCGGCGCGGGCGGCGATGCTGCCGCACGCCCTCGGCCGTGCCTGCACCGACGACCCAGCCCCATATTCCCCCGCCGTCGTTTTCTTCCCCCGGCCCGGCGCGCCGCCTGGCGAACTCAGCCGCAGCTGCAGCAGTGCTGAGCACACCCATGCGCATGGCCAGGAGCATCTGCCTCGGTCTCCAGCGTGTCTGCAGGTCCAGCGGCGACAGCTCGCCAGCCTCCGTGCAGCGGTAAACGCTTGCAGCCCGGGCTTGGTCGCCCCCCACCCGTGGCCCGTCAGCGTACGCCTCCGCCGGCCGCGACGCGGGGGGCGCAGGGAGTCACTGTGTGCAGGAGACGCGTGCGGCGTGCGGGGGGGTGAGCGTGTGGGGGTGTTGTTGCCCGTCTTCCGGCGTCCTTGGTGAGTCTGCCGGCGTGTATAGCTTGCCATGATCAGCACTGCAACTGCTAGTCCAGCACCTGCCGCCCGATTGCCCAGCTCCCAGCTGTGTGGGGGGGCAGCCCCCAGCGGGAGCGGCCGCAGCACTTTGGTGGACTGGCCGGCACAGCTGCGGAGGAAGCGACTCGCCCTTTCGGCGGGAGCCTGGGTCAGTGTGCCTGCTGATTCTTGCGGCTTGGGTAGCTCTGTTTGGTTGCAAGGCGCAAGTCAGCTCAAGCGCGTTCGTGGGGCTGCCACTTTGCGTCTGTTGGCACTTGCAAAACGGCTGGGCCTGAGGGTCAGGCAGGCCGTCAGTACCCTGCGCCTTCAATATCAAGACCGCAACTGTCACCGATCCTCAGATTAACACATGTGCCGTACGATATTATATATCATTCTATGCAAGTTTCACATGCCTCAGCGGACCGCAGATCACGATGATGTTGATCTGAGCATTTTGCCGCCTATCTTAAACCAGCGCAATGTCACGTGGCGGATGGAGTGAAGTTTCATGCCTAACTAGCGATGAGGCGGGACGCCTGTGAGTGACTGGCGCGGCTTGATGCCTTCACATCGGATGGCCGCTGCGTTGCGCTTGCGCGTATCATGCCGCAACAGCGCCCCTGATATCAGATGCACTGGCCCTTGCCCTCGCCGCAGCTACGGCGTGCGTAGGTTTCCATCGGATGGCGCCCCTGGCCAGATCTGGGTGGCGGATGTCTTTCAACACCTGCTGGAGGCACAGGCCAGCGGCGGTGGCGAGGTGCGCAGAGCACCAACGCACGCAGTACTTGATGGCTGCAAGAGAGTTACTAGATTCACGCTGCGCTGAGCGTTGCTGTGCAGCGGCCAGCCTGTGTGCGCCGTCGGTCGTCAGCCCCCCCCCCCGGCTGGCACGATTGCGGGGCGCGCGCCCCTTGCGCCCGCCGCCCTGAGCGCCCTCCACCTCGCTCGCCGCCGCCGCATGCGCCTGGCGCGGGCAGGCGCTGCAGCGTCTCCACGGCGTCGTGCCACGCCAGGTGGTAGCCACCAGCCCCTCTTTGGACTTTGCGGTGACAGCTGCTGCCGCCAGCGCCAACGGGCACCAGCTGCTGCTGGTCGGCTCAGAGGTGAGGGCGGCAGCCTGGGCCCCTGCTTCGCGCCCAGCCGCCCCGCCTCAACCTGCTGCTGGCCGATGCAGCGCCATGTCCCTGACGCCCTACGCCCTTCCATTGCGGACACCACCTCGTGCCAAATATGCGAACATGTCAACACCCATCACACACTACGCTCGGCTGATTGCGCCACCACCTGCCGACGGCAATCATATGTAATCACATGCCCAGGATGACGAGGTCCCGGTTCTGGCATTAGTCGACCTGTATGGAGCGGAGCTGGTGGACCCCGGCGTTCCCTCCTCTGCTGGTGCCTCACCGTCCCCCGCGCCCGCGACGCGCCGGCTCCGCGCACGGCTGACCCGCGTGCACGGCGACTTCCTGTCGCGCCGCCCGGGGCTGCGGCTCCTGCAGGCGGCGTGGCACCCGGCAAGCCCCGGGCACTTTGCCTGCCTGGCTTCCGACGGGACCTGGCGGCTGTACAATGCAGCAGACCCCTCAGAGCCTGAGCAGAGCTTCGCGCTCCGCCTGCCCGGCGGCGCCGGCGCCGGCCCGCTCGGCCTCGGCGGCGGCGGCGCGGCGGCGGCGCGGCCAGCGGCGTTTGCGTGGGGCCCGCCCGGCGGCGGCGCGAGCTGGGGGCAGCTGGCGGTTCTGATCCTCGCGACAGACGGCGGCGTGTACTCGCTCTGCCCGGTCGCGCCCTTCGGCCTGCGCGTTGCCGCCGGCGCGCTGCGGCGGCTGCTCGCGAGCTGTGGCGGCGGCGCCGAGGCCGGCGGCGGCGGCGGCAGCAGCACGGCGCGCGCGTGGCTGCAGGCGGCGTTTCCTGGGGTGGTGCACCCGGCCGGCGAGGTGCTCGCCGGGGGCGAGGGCTTCACCGTGCAGCCGCACCTGCTCGAAACTTGGGCGCCTGCGCTGCAGGGCCCGCTGAACGCGGGGTCTGTGTCAGCGGAGGCCGGCGGCCGGCCGGGCGCGCCGCGGGGCGCGGCCATCGCGGCCAGCGCGCGGTCTGCCGCGGCCGGCGGCCGGCGGCTGTTCGACGACGGGGGCGGGGAGGAAGATTGGTACCCTGCGTTTGACGGCGGCTTCGGGGACGATGGCGCGGGCGGCGACGGCGGGGTGACGTGCTGCGCCGTGCTGACCGCGTTGACCGACGGCCGGGTCTACACGCACGCGCTCGACGGCGGCGCGCTGGCGCCCGCGTGGACTGAGGGGCTGCCGCAGTGCACGTATGGGCCGCGCATGGATGTGGTCAGCGTGCGTTGCGAGTGCGAGGCCGTGCCGGCGGTGGTGGCGTCAGCGGCGGGGGACGACGGCGGCGGTGTGTCAGGTGGGTCGGTCGAGTGACATGTGCTGTGTGCTCCTCTTACACGTGCGTGCGTGTGTGTGTGCATGCATTGTACATGTATGTTGTGTGCATGCGCGTGTGATGCGTGCAATTGTAGTTTGGCACGTGTTGTGCTGTCGCACTGGGTGCCATGGCTTATGGGAGAGCAGGTGCACAAGGGTGATATATAACAGCTCTCAATTGACATCATTTCGTCCCATGATGTCCTCAATTTCTGCATGGCACCCTGCTTCTGACAGCGCCCCCAACCCTCAGCTGACCCAGACCTGCCCCATTTCCGCACTCCCCCTGCAGCCGGCCTTCCCCCTATTGACGAGGACGACCGGGACTCCACCGCCGCCTCCCGTCCCGCCGGCCGCCGTACCGCGAGCGCCCCCGCCTCGCGCCCCGCCAGCGGCGGCGCACTCTCGGCCCGCGCCGGCGTGTCCGGCGGGGCCGCGGTGGCGGCGGCCTCGGCGGCGGCCGCGTCGGGGCCGATGGTTGTGATCGATCTGATAGACCTACGGTTGAGGGATGAGGTGGCGGGAGGCGGATTCCAAGATGACGAGGACAGGGGCAGCTTCTCGGAGGATGAGGAGGACGAGGAAGAGGAGCTGCGCGGCGCCGGCGGGGCTGCGCCTCGCCGCCTGCGGCGCGTCGTCCTGCACGCCTGCCCCGAGCAGCCGGGCGCGTTCTGGGCCGTCCACGACCGCGGCGCGTGGGCGCTGTCGCTGCGGTGGCTGCCGGCGGTCGCGCGGCAGCTCGCAGCGGCGGCGGCGGCGGAGGCTGAGGGGTTCGGCGGGCTGGACGGCTATGGCGGCGGCGGAGAGGACGGCGAGGGGGACGAGGCAGCTTCCGGCCAGCTGCCGGCGCCGGCGCTCAGGGAGCTGCTAGTGTCGGAGGACTCCATCAACGCGAGCGCCCCGCTTGGCAGCGTCCTGGCCGGCAGCAGCTGCGTGCTGCTGGAGCGGTCCGGGCGGCTGAGCGTCGCGCGGCCCGGCGCGGCGGCCGGCGGCGGCGGCGCCGGGGGCGGCGCGGGCGCAGGGGGTGGGGGCGTGGATGAGGAGGAGCGCCTGGAAGCTCTGGTGGCGGGGGCGGCCGGGCGCGTGCAGCCGCCGGACGTCGCGGCGGCGCAGGCAGCGGTGCAGGTGGGCGCAGCCTCAACGGGGTCGCGCCGCCGCGCTCGCGTCCCTGTAGCTGCTTGGCTGACAGCAACACCGCTCTTGAATGGCCGCCGCGGCGGCGCGCTCTTCAAAGGGGCTCATTGCATGTGAGCATGACACCGCCAGAAGCCCCTCCGACTTGACGCACCGATTCCCCGTCCCGCCCACCAGGAGCTTTACGCGGAGCTCCGCGCCGGCCCCCGCAACCTGCCAGAGCCCCAGGCGCCCGCCGGCGGCACCGACGTGCGGACGCCAGCTGGCAAGGAGCACCTGGCTGCCCAGCTGGCGTGGCTGCAGGGCAAGTACGTGCGCTTCGTGGCGATGGCACACTGCGACGCCATAAACCGCGCCAAGCAGCTGCAGGCGGAGGTGCGAGGCCGTCGCCCCCGCCGCCGACGCCACGCCCGACACTGGGAGCATGCAGACCTGTTGGGGTACCTCAGCCGCGCCTGGCGCACGGACGACCCATCCCTGCGGCCGCATCCAGCTGCGTCCCTGCCTGCGGATGGGCCAGCCCTCAGCACCGCGCTGTCCACCCTTGCACGCCCTTCCTCGTCCCCACCGCACACCTCTCAAACCCTGCATGATCCCTCCGCCCGCCTGGGGACGCGCTGCCCTGGACAACCCCCATCAGGTGCGGGACCAGCAGGGCGTGGCCAGGGAGGTCGGGGCCCTCGCATCCGACGTCGAGGCCACCCAGGCCGAGCTGGCAGAGAGGGTCGAGCGGCTGCAGGTGGGCTCGCCGCAAGAGCGCGCCGGGTCCGCGTGGCGAGTTCGCAACCTCTCGCGAGGGAGGGTGTGGGCAATCGCACCTCTTCAGACGGAGTTGCCCCGTGGCGGTGTGCCTCACTGCACCCTCGTGCCTGTCCCTCAAGTCTGCGCAGCCGCCCCGCGGACTGCGGCCCTGCACACGCACCCCTCCTGTGTTGGTGCCAACCCCGCGCCCCGCCCCGCAGGCGCGCCACGCCAACCTGCTGGACCGCCTGAAGGTGCTGGCGCTGCTGCACTGGGGGGCGCCGCGGCCCCTGAGCCGCGCGGAGCGGGACTTCAGCAAGCAGCTGGAGGTGGGCGGGCCGCTGTTGAGGCTGACGAGTCATTCGTGCCGGCCATTCAAGCCGGCGACGCACTGGCTGGGGCTGCATGTGCGACGCTGCCTGCGAGCTGTTACCCCTCTGGATTTCATATTGCAGATGGGAGCAAGGACAGCATGCAAATGTGGTGACACTGCCCTTGCATCTCGGGGCGCGCCAGCTCGCCAGGGTTGTGACACCCACCACCGCGCACCTATTGCCCCCCCATCCGTGGGCATCAGGTCTGGGAGGCGCAGCAGCGCGAGGCGTCCCTGGCCTGGGCGGCCCTGAAGAAGCGGATCGACGAGATGGCAGAGCAGCGCCGCCAAGACCAGCGCCCCCAGCCGCCGCCCCCAGCGGCGCCCTCGCCCCTCCGCTCCCCCCCGCCCGGCCTCCGCGCGCCCGCGCCGACGCCGCCGCGGGGCGCCGGCGGCCCGCGGCGGCTTGGGGCCGCCG